ATAGCCAAAATGAACAATTCATCAGAGGGGCCCCACAGTACGTTGGGTCTGGCCGAGGAAAGAATCAGGGCACATGAAGATATTTAGAGAGGTTATGCAATCTGAAACACAGAGAAGAAAGAATGAACACGTACAAGAAAGAATGATGACAAAAGAAGAGAGAATCTGATAAGTGTATAGAGCACCCGTATGCGAGATAGTCACGGCAACACCAGGATGAGCGGAGAAAGAAAGAGGCAGAAAAAACAGGGGAAGAAATGACTTAAAGCTTTCCAGATTTGATCAAAAGCATTAATCCATACACCCAGAAAGTTCCATAAACACCCAGTAAGATAAATGGAACCAAGTCCGCATCCACCCACCTCAGAGTCAAAAACACAAGGACATAAACTCTTGAAATCATGGGCAAGGGAACTCATGTAATGTTAAGAGTTGGCTTCTAATCAGAAAAAAGCTGGGGGACAGAAGATAATGGGGCAACGCAGTCAAAGTGTTGAATAAAAACTGCCAACCAAGAATCTTCTGTTCAGCAGAACTACTTTCAAAAATGAAGGTGAAATAAAGACATTCTGAGATAAACAGAAACATGAAAATTCATTGCTAGCCAACCTGCCTTACAGGAGATACAGAAGGAAGACTTTCAGGTTGAAAACCAATGATACAGACAGAAATTCAAATTCACACAAAAAGACAGAAAGTACCAACAAAGCTGATCACACATGGGTAATTATAAAAGATAGTATGATTGCACATGTCTTCTCCTTTCTTCTCTTGTCTGAGTTAAAAAGCTATTGCATAAAACAGTATGTATATGATTGTATTATTGGGCCTATAATATATAGAAATGTAACATATTTAACAATAACAGCACAAAGGAGAAGGTGAAGTAATGGCACCCAGTGGTGACTTGAAACCACAAAAAAAATGAAGAGGACCAGAAAAAGTACATAAGCAGGAAACACAGTAAACTCCAGAAATAGACTTGCTCTCCCTTCCTCTTTCAACTTCTTTAAAAGAGATATAGTTCTATAAAGTAGTAACTATAAAAAATGTATTCTTGAGTTTGTAACAGTACAGATATACAGACATAGCATGTATAATAATAGCACAGAAAGGGGCAGAGGCCATAGAACTGGGGAATAAAGTTTCTATATGTCAGTGAGGTTTAGTATAAAACTTTTCTTTAAAGATTGATTTGGTTATGTGTGTGTGTGTGTGTGTGTGTGTGAGAGAGAGAGAGAGAGAGAGAGAGAGAGATTGAGGGAGTATGTGTGCATGAGCTGGAGTTGGGGACAGAGGAAAGAAACTCAAGCAGACTCCCTGTTGAGCACAGAGCCTGATGTGGGGCTCGATCCCAGGACCTGAGATCATGACCTAAGCTGAAATCAAGAGTCGGAGGCTAAACCAACTGAGCCACCCAGTCGCCCCCAGTATAAATCTTAAGTAAATGTTGGTACTAGAGCAAACACTAACAAAAGTAACTGAAAAAAAATACAATCGAAGCAAAAACAAGCAAATTAAAATGGTACACTAGAAAATTTTCACTTAAAAAAGAAGAAAGTGGGGGGAAAAAGAGGACTAAAGATGTGAGACCTATAAAAGACAAACATCCAAAGGACAGATGTAAATTCTACCTTTGCCATAATTACATTAAATATGAATGGATTAAACAATCCATTCAAAAGGCACAGATCAGCAGAACAAAACTGACAGGTACCCAGCTACATGCTGTCTGGAAGAGATACATGTTAGATTCAAAGATACAAACATGTTGAAAGTAAAAGAATGGAAATGATACACCATGTCAACAGTAACCAAAAGAAAACCCTAGTGGTTGAGTAGTATCAGACAAAATAATCTTGAAGACAAAATTGTTACCAGAGACAAAGAGGAACACACTAATATTAATGAAAGGCTCAATCCGTCTAGAAGACATAGCTATCATAAACATATATCCACCCAAGGACAGAGCACTGAAATTAAACGGACTGAACTGGAGTGAGAAATAGATAATTCAACAATAGTAGTTGGAGACTTCAATACATCAGCGGACGGCAGAAGATCAAAAACCTAGGTAGCTTCCATTACACTGTAAATCAGTCAGACCCCACAGACATGTAAGGAGCACTCCGCACTCCGCACGTTCATAGAAAAACACGCTCTTTTCAAGTGCATATGGAACATTCTTCCAGCACAGACCATAAAACAAGATGCAATAAATTTTAAAGGATAAAAATTATACAAAGCATGTTCCTGGGCCACAGTGGAAGAAAATTAAAAAATCAATAACAGAATGACATTTGGGAAATTCACAAATATGAGGAAATTACAAACACTCTCCTAAATAACCCATGTTCCAAATGGGTGAATTGTGTGGTATGTGAATTCCATCTCGATCAAGCTGTTTAATAAATGTGGCTCGAACCAAGCTCTCCCACCTGAGCTGGCACTTCTGAGATGATGAACGTCCCCAGGTCCCTCTGTTGGGATTTCGTAAACGTTTAGTGCCTACAAATCTCCCAAATGCATTAGGTTCAAAGATAGGACCTAGCAAGATGATAAAGTGAGGAATTCTGGAAGAAAGATGGGCCTTCCTGTATCTACCTGAGCATGCAGGGGGCAGAGAGAAGCCAGGCATGGAAATTCTCAGCTGGAGGTGACTGTTAGAGCTTTCCAGGGGCCTGGATCCCCAGATCCTAGCTGAAATTCTACACATACATAGAGAGAGTGTCTACACCTCTCATAGGGTGTCTGATAGAGGCCTTGACCTAAAAACCAGTAGGAACCATGAGAGGCATCTGTGGGAACTTTAAAAGGAGCCCTTCCTCCTGGCACAGGGCTTGAGCTCAGCAACAGTCCTAGAGCTAGGACAACTTGATTCTGTGCAGCAGGTCTGTGGGGAGGGATGGAACTAGGAGCCTGGCATTCAGATCTGTCTCTCAAGCCCCCTAACCCCCCCCACCCCCCATCAGTGCATATCCAGGAAAGACATAAAAGCTTCCGTAAGCTTTGGGTTTGTCCTCTTATTATAGGAGGATCACGACAATCTCCTTGAGGGATTTAGTGTGAATTCCACGCCCCTGTCTCTGACCCCTGCCCTCCTCCCCCTTCCCTCCCTATGCCCATCACCTTCCCTCCTCCACCCTTGGCGCCTGTGTGTTTGCATGTAGGAATCCGCACATATATGTACGCGTGTGTATGCATGCGTGTCTATGCCCAGCTCATTTAACAATCCTCCATAAAAAGCAGCTGAATTTGCATCTCAATATACCCCATCAACCCATTTTGAGAATGCTTTCACCAACAGAGAGTTCAGAATTCATGCATCTAACCCAGGCTGCTGACCCGGGGTTGCTGAACTGGAGGGGACGGTGGAGGCAGGGGCTCAGATGACTTCATGCTCAGTCTAGTCGTCTGGCCAACGGAGAGAGGAGAGAATCGGTCTACATCATGGGGTGGCGTGAGCATGGGCTAAGTGTGCCCGGCCCACAGTAGGTGCTCCATAGTGCTTGGCCTCTGTTGGCCCATCACGAGCTTGGCCTGCAGGGCTAATGCAGGAGGGCTTGAGTCCCGTCTGTGGGGCCGGTGAGCTCTCAACAGCCATGGCCCCTGGGAATTACGGACAGAGCCCGGGCAGGGGCCCTGTGAGCGCGTCTCTAATTGCTACCGCAGACGGTGTCTGCTGGGAGGCCGTCCTCTCCTTCCCAACGTGTGGCTTTTGATGGAAGCAGCTAGAACAGCTCCAGAACAGCTGCTCTTTCCTTATCACAAAGCAGCAGCTCATTTTTGCCGCATTTCACTTGACAGCCCCTTGATTTCAGACAAATGTACCTTTCCGAACCTCTGTGGTGCTGCTTGCTGTTTTCCCCACGCCCGAGGCTACTGGACAGACAGGGTGCCTGGCGTCCTTCGTAAACAGAAAGCCCGAAGCAAGTGGTCGCGGTGTCACACGACACCCACCCTGTGCCCCGTCTCACCTGGACTTCATATACAGAGCACAATTTAAAAGAAGCCATTTTATTGAGCCCCGGGGCTTAATAAGGCCTGAATTCAGGTCCAAATGAAGGTGAGACTTATTTTAGATTAAATATTGATTTAGCGTATGAATGCCAAGAGGTAGGGCAGGCCTACGTGTCCAGCAAATGGCTTGGTGATTTTCCTCTCTCTCAAGACTTGCCATATGAGAAATAAAAGAGCTTAGGTTAGGGACTGATGGAGGACCACCTCCCTACGGCCATCTAGCTGGTTTTGCTCGTAAATGCGAGGCACGGAGGCCGCACCCTTGGGGCAGGGGACATGCTCCGGGGGCTGGGAGTTGGGGGCGCTGAGCCCCTGCAGAAGCCTCCCACCGCTGCCCCTGGATGACATCCTCCCCCGCCTGCTCGCTGATGGAGGCCTTGCCCCCGGGGCGAGCTCAGCTCTGCACATGAACACGCAGGGGCCCAGAAGTCCTCACATATAGGCAGGCCCGTGGGTCCCGGGCAGGGGACGTCCCCTTGGGGGCAAGATCTCCCTGGTCCATCTGCTCAGTGAGGACGGGGACAAGTCAGAACTGCCCAGAGCCTCTAATGGTCCCAGAATAGCAGTGGCTAAGTCCCCCTTCAGCACAAGGAAGCAGGGCAGGTGGGAGGGGAAGGGCTGCCAGGGCCGGGGTCGCAGGTTTGGTGGGTTTTGCAGGCTCAGGCCGCCCGCCCCTCCAGCTGGGGTCTACAGGCCAGGTTCTGCGGTCACCACCAGAAAACACGCTTTATTTCCTGAAGCCACATGGAAAGTGAGCTCTGGGATCAGAAGCCACTTTGGTGAGGTATTGATCTGAGAGCTGGCCCAGCACCCGTGACCTCCAGGCCTGAAGGGGCTAAAGCATGGACTTTCCTCATCTATAAAAGGGAGTCACTTGCCACCTGTCCTGTTGGCTCCTGTGGCTTTGAGACGCAGATGGGACCCTCGGGAAGGCAGAGCACTCATCACAGAGGCAGGGGACGGCAGCCGCAAGCACTGACCTCGGATTCCGAAGCGTCCACCGACTTCTCCTTAAGGTTGGCGCTCTCGGTCAGCACAGCTCCGTTGTACTTGTTGCAGATGTCCTCGTCTGAGTAGTGCAGACCGCCGGGGCTGGGCCGGGGCGGGGACCTAGGATAGGGACGGGGCCATGAGGGACAGATGTGGGCTCAGGGCAGCTCTGGGCCATGGACACCTCCCCCGGGGGCCTCCTGACCCGCCCTGTGGCCACTGTAATGTCGGTGAGAGGACATCCTTGCTGGCGATCAGTCCGCCGCAGTGTTGCATGATGGTGTGTGAAGCAGGACTTCGCTAATCGCACGTGTGCAGCCGGCCCCCTAGAGGGCCAGCCGGGGCCGAGGGGGGTTCCAGAGCTCACTCCCCTCCTGTCTGAGATCTGCCTGCTTTTTGTAGTTCCAGAGGAGGTAGGATGCTTCTTGCCCCCTTCCCTTCCTGCCCCCTTCCCAACACTGCCCTGCTGGGGTTGGGTGGGTGCCCGTGGGCACGGCGGCTTGTCTGCGGCTGGCCCCCCACCCTGGCTGGTTCAGGTCTTCGGGCAGATGGGGCACACTGAGGGGGTTGGTTAGAGCGACTGCATCCCTACCTGGTCCCGTTCTTCTTTGAGAAGGTGTTCTTGACGTTGAGGTGACGGCTGTTGAGCTCCAAGGCAGCAAACCCTCCGTTGTCCAGGGTCACGGTCTCCTCCATGTTGGAGATGCTCTTACCTGCAGCAGGAATGGGAGAATGGGTTCAGAGGTTCCAGGAAAGAGCCCAGCCCCAGCTGGTCAGCCTATGGCTGTTCACTGAGTTCCGGCCAGAAGCAGAGCCCAGACCCGGGCTTGGGCTCACAAGACAGTCAGAGGCACACTGGGGAGGAAGCCGCGTGTTAAGGATGATGCTGGGGCATTTCTGTGTTTATTTTGCCTGACACCAAAGAACTGAACTGGTATTCTTACCAGTATCTGACGAAAGAGTTTCCAGAATGCAACATCTTTTTTAAAAAGCAGAGAAATTAAATACTGAACATGTTTCAAAATAAAAAACTCATGACCACATAACAACAAAATCTCAGTAGAAAGTAGATTTACAAGGGGCAACTGTGGAAGTAGTGGACAGGGAGTCTTTGGGGTGGTGAAAATGTTCTAGAGTTGGCTGTGGTGATGACCGCACATATCTGTCAATATACTAAAAGCCACTCAAAAGCAATAAATTTATAAATATGTATGGGAACATATTTTAAAACATGTCAGGAGATCAGATGAATAACAGTGTAGTTGTGAGAAACCAAAGGGGCTGAAAGGTTTCCAGTGGCTTTCCGTCCTCGGGGCCGCCCCTGTACTGGGAACTGGGAGAATGTTCCAGACCTCCTCCTCTGCTCCCAGAGGCCCACAGAGGCCCCCCTGGAGTGCATTTTTGACATACTGGCTTGTTCCTTACTGTCTGCCTTCCATCTTCTCCAGCTGGACCACAGCTCTTGGACGTGGGGACCTTTCCCGTTTATCTCTCACTGTCCTCCAGAAGGACTCCAGGTTCCCTAAAACCCCATGATGCCCTCTCTGCTGTGAACCCAGCGTGCCTGGACAGGCCCAGATGCTTGACGTGCTCGCAGCAGAGGAAGCTGACAGAACACAGGCGGAGGGAGGACGGAGCTGCAGGCCAGTGGGATGTGGGCTGATGAGAGGGTGAGTAGGAGAAAACCGCTCTCAGAAACAAGTCCCATGAGGAGAGGGTTGTGAGGGGAGCAAGCGGGAGGGGGCTGGGCCGTAATTGCAAAGGTCTGGGTTCTGCATGGCTCCTGGCAGCAAGGCAGACATTCCAGTAGACGAGTACGGTTTCTTTTTTTTTTTTTCCCCCAGGCTTCAATTATGATGTTAAATTAATACTCCAGGGTGAGGCTGAGTATCAGAAGCTACAGGTCAGATTTGTCTTTTTAGGCCGGTTTTCCAGATGCAGAAGGAGAGTGAAAAGTGGGGAGATTTTCTATGCGCCAGACGCAGGGTTCTGTAATAGCATTAACTCAGTAAAATGACATGCCATTCATACATAGTAAATCCCATAGGAATAAAGTCTGATTTACGAACACTTGTTAGAAGTGAATTTATACAGAAAAAAATAAATCCTTTCTTGGAGGAATGAATTGCTTAACGTTAGGAAAGCAAATGGCAAAGCACCTGGTTCTTTTAACCCTTCAGGAGCAGTGAGGTGTGGTGCAGGGGGGTGGGGGCCGGGGGGAGCCATTCAGCCCAGTGGCTTGCCCCCCTGGGGGCTCAGGCGCCCACTTGTCTGTGGGAGGACCCCATCAGGGATCCAACTTCCTAAGAAGCAAAGACAGACAGGTCCAGCCATGGGACCTGTCCTCCGCTGCGGTGATGTCACAGAGCTGGTCCCATGCATGGCCCAGCTATAGCTGTGTGTGTGGGGGGGGACACACCACCATCCAGAGCCCAGTTATAGTCCACTGGTGCAAAGAACAGGTCTTACAGGTGATTATGAGAGTTTTTAAAAAATTGAGGAGAGCAGAATGCACGGAGTGTACTAATCTTAAGCCTCCGGGGTGCTGGCATGTGTTATGTGTAGAACCACTATGCGCATAGAGAGTCAGAGCAGAGCACTCTCGGAACCCTGAGGGGTTCCCTCACAGCCCTTCTCTATTGATACTTCTCTGCCAGGAGACAACCAGTGTTCTGTCTTCTAGAAACTTCAGCTCGTTTGCATTGTTCCTGACCTTCCCATAAATGGGTCCAGCTTTGCCACGTTCCAGCTTTGCCCCATATTCATTTGTCCATTTCTCTGATTCGGGGTGGCTCATGCAGCAACAAACACTTATTAAGCACCTACTGTATGCCAGCCATGGAGCTTATGCTGGGGAAGCAAAGGTGAGCCGGGCGTCAGAGGGCTTAGAGCCGGAACGTGGGATGTAAGATGCAGTACACGCTCTGTTGGTCTACGGCTGCACCCCATTGTGTGTTTCCACACATGGGTCTGGGAGCCACACCAGCATTTCTGAGACGCACCTGGGCTCACTGTGCTCATGATACTGAGAGGTACGGTGAGTCACCTGTTTGATGCTCTGTGTGTCCTATTCAAAAATCCTGTTGCGTTTGGGCAATGGTGTGGGTGAGGGAACAGGCTCAGGGAGTTCCATCCACCCACGAGATGGAGAATCCAAGACACAAGGCTAATTGTGGGGCGGAGCCAGGACGTGAACCTGGACCTCAAGGGTCAAGGGTGCTTGACTGCTGCCCAGTGCTGCCTCCCAGAGGAAATCCGAGGCCCGGCCTTGGTCACCCTCAGGCAGACAAAACGCAAAGCCCGCACCATGGATCCCAGATTGAAGCAGAGAAGATGCGGACATTTTGGCTCCTGAGTGCATGGGCCCTTCTAGAGGTGGGGTGGGGCAGGGTGGGGGACAAGGCAGACGCCCCACCTGTGCTGCAGCTCCTGTATCTCCGGTTCTGTCCGTGCAAGACCAGGGCAAACACCAGCAGCAGGATGACGATCAGGCTGGAAAGTGCCATCACCAGCAGGAACCACCACTCCTGGTAGAACGGGGTTTCCACTTGAGCTGAGGGGCACAGGAGCACACGGTCACACGGGATGGACCCTGTTGTCACCTGTTCGCAGCTGGGGAGGAAGGCATTTGCGGGGAAGATGAACCCCGCCCCCTGCTGGGGTGGGCGGTGGGTGGGGAAGGGGGGGAAGCCGATGGGCTGGTTTCCCAGACACAAGCTCCTTCTCTGTGGGAACCGGCTGGGGCCCCTTGGGCACCCTTGCTGCCCTGTCCCAGAGCTCGCCCTGTCCCAGAGCTCGCCCTGTCCTTGCCATCCACACCATGCTTCACGCCATATCCCCCGATTTTATCTGCTTATGGATGTTGTCCGGGGGAAAGGGAGGAAGGACCAGCGTGCCTGGATGTCTCTGATCCTCAGTGCTCAGGCTTCCCTCCCAGATGGCCTCTGGGGTTCCTTACGCCCTCCACCACGGCCGCCACCCTATAGCGCCTTCTGGTGGCTTCCCCTCTTCCTGACATACCCCCCAACCAATCTGCCACACACTGTCACCAGGGAGATCTTACTCAATAGAAACAAACCGTCCCTTCCTAAAAGTCTTCAGTGTGGCCCACATGAGCCATGGGGCTCAGTCCGAGCCCGTGAGCCCCATGAGCTGACTCCTGCTTGCTCCCGCCCAAGGCTGGATCCCGTCACACCTGCATGAACACTGCTGATTGTGAGCCCTCCCTGCAGGCCTCTGCCACCATGGGACTCCCCAAGGCCTGCGCTGTGCTGTATTTCCTGCCTCCTGCAAAACTGAGCAAAACCACTGGCCCCTGTCGTGGGAAACATTTTTTGAGAAACAAATAGTTTCACTTAAAAGTTGCTTTGGAGGAGGACACCCTTCCTGCTCATGTTTTATTCTGTTTACTAAGAACAGAGACATGGGACTCGCTGCTTGGGAGATGCCGGATGGCCCTGGGGTCCCGCTGGTGCCTTCCACAAGCCCCCTGCAGGGGAGCTGGCTGGGAGGCACCAGATCCGACAGAATAGGAAGCCCCGGTCCGCCTCCCAGCTGCTGAAGCCCCCAGAAGACACTTCTGCCTTATGTTAAATCTCTCACCGGTTGGGTAAAGACTGTGCACACTGGGGACAAGAGCGGGGGAGCTGTCTTTGGGTAATGCAATGGCACAGGGCTTCCTGGGAGATGGCAGCATTTTGAATCCAAAATATATCAGTGGTTTTCAGGCTGCACATTAATTGCTCTGTATAATGAGCCAAGAAATTCCAAATGACCACCCAGGTGGGCGTGGAAAAGAAAGGCCTGGGTGCCCGCAGGACCCTACTCCTGGCCTCTGGGGCAGGACCCCACAGATCTGCACGCTGCTCTGAAGGACGGAGGAAGCTGACCACTGTCCCGCTGGCAGCCGCGGCTGGCAAGGGTGTGCAATGGGCTTCAGAGGACAGCCAGGCCGTGGGCTCCATGAACAGAAGGGCGAGGGGCTTGTGTTCTCCTGCAGGAAGGAGCCTTTGCCCCTGGCTGCATGTGTGTGCAGTGAAAGTCTCTGTGCATTTGGAATTGCTTTACGTGGGTGTTCCACACAGGAACCAAGAGAGGCAAACCTTGACTTGCTCGACTGGGGTGAGGGGTGCCCAGGGTGTCCTTATTCTAGTCTCTCTTCTGGAGGGCATGTTAAATTTTTCATAAGAAAGTGACAGAAATGAGAAGATTTTGATTTTTCTACGTCTTACTGCTACAGAAGCCCATGGTATGCTGGGGCTCCTCTTGGCAGACCCCGCCACAATCCGCGAGGACTCGTGGGCCCGAGCCTGCCCGCAGATACTGTGCTCCCTCCAAGGTCAAGGCAAAGAGGGACAGAAGGTATTTTCAGTTTAAACAAGAGCAGTCAGCATCTTGAACGAATCTAGAGGCTGGGGAAGAACAACGTGTTTCTCTTGGTCCCAGGAACACCCCATGTGGTTTCTGGCCTCGCGTGCCCCCTTGCCTGTGCCGCACCTGCTCCCTGCCTCCCCCGCAACTGCACGCCCAGCCTGTCCCCTGCCTGCGGTGGGTTGCCAGCTCCCTTTCTAATCACCTCCACGCTGCTCCCTGCCATCCCTCCAGCTGCCTGGCAGATCAACAGCGGAGCCCCAGGCGGCATCACCACTGGGTTGGATGGGGTCCCTGCAGGTACGTCCTCCAGGCAACCCCAGGAATGCCAGGTGCAGGTGGGGCAGAAGCTGGCCTCCCCTCCCCTCCTTGCCTGCTGTCTCACCACGAGAACTTTGTCTCTGCTGCTCTCTTCCCCTGTGGCCTCACCCCCACGCACCCTTCGCCAGCCAGACACATGCTCCCTCTTCTGAGAAACCCTTCCTGATTTCTCCGCATCTGTTACACCCCTTGCCACAAGGCTGGCGAGGGTGGCTGGTCTGTCATCAGCACCCCATGAGCTCTGGGAAAGAAACCTTGCCTCTTCCACCCAGAGTGGAGCCTAGGGCTCTTTGTACAGGGTGGCGACTGGCCCGGGGTGCACATGGGCCCCTCAGCTGTCTCAGGGGAGGCCTGGATCAGACACACCTGGGTCGGGTGCTAAGACACCCCAGCCCTCCCCGTAGCTGCTGGGACTTTGCCCAAGGCTGCCCAGTAAGGAGCCTTCAGCTGACGGGAGGGGCTGTGGGCTGCCTTCCCCTGGATGGACGGACAGACAGCACAGTGCTTAGCTCAGGCTGACTGCTCTGACTCTGGCGTGGGTCTTTGATTAGGAAAAAATGAGACAGAAATTAAGACTTGCTTAAACGCAGCTTGGTGAGGACAGTCAGGGTCGTGGTGGCACCCGCTCCCTCAGTACCGTGTTCTCCAGGCTGGGCCTGTGCTGCTGGTGCCTGCATGGTGCCGGGCGCTGTCCTTTTTCTTTGTATCACGGCTCCCAGCCATCCCCTCCCGCTCCAATGGAAGAACTACACTCGGAGCATCCCCTGTTCGGACAGGGCTCCCTACCTGACACGGCCGTGGAGGGGCTGCTGGGCTCCCCATAGCCTGCCTGGTTCACGGCCACCACCCGGAACTCGTAGGTCACTCCCTGCCTGAGCTTGTCCAGGCTGACAGTGTAGGATGTGGCGCCTCGGGGGATGTCCTTCGCAAACACGTCCCAGAGGCCTTCATCTGCAGAGATGACACAAGGGGAGAGGTGAGGGGTGCTCTTCTCCTGCTTCTGATGCACCGCCATGGGCTCCCTGCTGCCCTCACCAACAGAGCCCCCATGACGTGAGAGCCAGAGGCGGGGTGCGCGGCCGGGGGCCGCGGGCAGGGAGGTGGCCATCCCTCTCCTCGTGCACAGGCTCTGCTGCAGCTGCAGGCTGGGTGGTGGCGTGTTGCTGAACGTTCTCTCAGCCATCGGATCCCATCGGATCCCATCAGACTCCAGGCCTCCCTCTGGTTTCTGACTTACGTCATCTTCCATTGAGGATTTCTGGCTCCCTTCTGTCTGGTCGTGGTCTCTCCCGGTCCCAGGATCCCTCCTCCCTGGCCCACCTGCCCATCAGTCGTCTGCCATCCCGCACACCCCAGCCAGCGTTCGGGGTTCTTTGTAGCACCTGCCACCCCCATCCCAGCAGAGGCCCACAGAGAAAACTACACAACAGTGTCTTTACCAGCCAGCTGTGAGCGCGGTGAGGCCATGGGCAGACATGTCACCGGCTCATTGGGATGAAAGGCGCTCAGGACAACTGGCACAGAGATGCGGGGGGTCAGGGGCTGCCCTTGTTCACCCTCGGGACTCTGCCCTGCCTGCGCACACCAAACCCCTGAGAGGTGCCCTCCACTTTGCTCATCCATTGGACTGGCTGCAGCATCTGACCTGCCCGGACCCCAGCTCGCTTTTTTCACCTCTGCCCCGATGCTACCAAATATGAGTGCAAATGAGACAAACACATACTGAATTCTGGACACTTGCACACCCGTGTTCATGGCATAATTAACAATAGTCAAAAGGTGGCAGCAACCAAGCATCTGTCAACAGATGAGCAGATAAACAATGTGGTCCGTGTGCACCATGGAATAGCATTCAGCCTTAAAAAGGAAGGGAATGCTGGCACCGGCCCCAACACGGATGAACCTGGAGGACGTGATGCTCCGTGAAAGAAGCCGGGCGCAGAAGGACGAACGCTGTGAGACCCCCATTTATAGGAGGCCTCCTATGGTGTCAAAATTACAGACACAGAGAGTGGACGGCGGGGCCAGGGGCTGGGGGAGGGGAGGGATTATGGGTTCATGGGGACAGAGTCTCAGTTTGGGAAGATGCAGAAGTTCCGGAGATGGACGGTGGTGATGTCTGCACATTAGAGTGCATGTTCTCAACGCCACTGAACCCCGCACTTACAAGGGGTCACAACGGTGAATTTTATCTTATGTATTTTTTGCCACAATAAACATACATATTGAATTTATCTAAACCCCGACACGTAGGAAAACATTCATAAAGTTGACATTAAAGCCAGAAAGTCGAGATGCAAGAAGACAGGAAGAAGCCGGTAGAACGGACTCTAGATTGGAGGCACCTCCCAGCAGGGCCAAGGGAATGTGATCAGCGGCGTCGGTCATCAAAAACCCGTAACACAGCACTGTGGCTGAAAGAGGACTAGAGTCTAGAGAGCGTGCGTGGCAAGCCTGGCCCTAACATGCCTCAGCTGTGTGACCTTAGGTGGAGTGCCCAACCTCTCTGGGCCTCAACTGCAGAATTGTGACAACAAAGGCATCTACATCGTAGATCAGTTTGGAGGGTTAAACAAGGTTCTATCTGTAAAGTGCTTCTAACAGTGCAATACATAGGGGACACTATGCATGGCCTGCATATCTATAAACCCAATCTCGAAGGAGGTGCTTTGGTAAAAAGTGGGCTCTGAGCCCAAAATGTTCATTTGAAGTGCTGATCCTTTATGAATTATAATTTCTTTTACAGGCACAGGTATGTGATCTTTTTAAAAAGAGCAGAAGATCTGGAGAGGACAGGTGCGCTTAAATATGCGTGCTCACGCATGGACAGCTTTCCGGGGAGCTGAGGGTTATCTGGCACCGACCTTACCACGCACCTCGGAACACCAGATATGCTCAAGTGGATTAGCCCAACGGCACACAGAAAGAAAATTGCTAGTGTACAAGTCCGTATTTGCATAGGATTTAGAGTTTGCACCGATTAAGTCCTTACAAGCCATAGGTTAATGAAGGAACAGATGTGAATGAGATTTTAAAGGTACAAATCTCTGTAGAGGCAGAAAGAGAGCACAATGATTATTTATTTCTAAATATTCACAGTTACACTCATTTCTCACCAAGGTACCCATTACCACTAATAATGTCAAAATGGCAAGCCATAGCTTCAAGTCTCCCCGCTCTGGCCCTAACGGACTGAGGTTTGCACATGAAATGATGGCTGTCTAAGATGTTCGTTCGGATGTTCTGCACAAGAATGATTGGGGAGTAACGGGGGCAGAGAGCACATTTTCTCTCCACAAGCCACTCCCTGTGCCTCGGGAGTTCCCGGGGCCCCGTCCTCCCCTCTGCTGCCTCCCATCCATGCGTGTGATCGTTCCATAGATACTGAAGTTCTTCCTCTTTGCCTTGTTCCACCCATCGGGGAATCAGGTGAGATTTCTGTTCAGATGAGCAATTCGTAAGTCCAAGGGCAGGGGGTGGAGGCAGCTAAACAAGGTCATTCCTCCCTTTCAGACTCTTCTTGACCTCACTCCCACCCTCCAGCAAGAGATGCTTGCTTCCACCAGTGGGCTTTCTGAGCACTCCGTCGCATTTACCTGTCCGCATCACTGGGTCCTCGAGGTTTTCAAGAGTTCAATAAATACCTATTGATGTGATTACCTTCCCATCCATCCATCTCCCCAACCATCCATCTCCCCATGCATCCATCTCCCCATCCATCCATCTCCCCATCCAACCAACCATCCAGCCACTTTACCCTTCCTTCCTTCCATCCATCCACCACCCATCTGTCCATCCATCTCCCCATCCATCCATCTCCCCAACCATACATTTCCCCATGCATCCATCTCCCCATGCATCCATCTCCCCATCCATCCATCTCCCCATCCAACCAACCATCCACCCAATTTACCCTTCCTTCCTTCCATCCATCCACCACCCATCTGTCTATCCATCTCCCCATCCAACTATCCATCCACCTACCCATTTATTCATTCCTTCCTTCCTTCCTTCCTTCCTTTCTTCCACCATCCATCTATCCATCCAACCATCCATCCACCTACATATCTCCATAGCCCTTTGCAGGACCTACCACAAGCAGGCTTCTAGTGAATACCCACCACATTTTATTTGTACTTCCTATGAGTAAGCCACTATTCTAAGGGCTTTAAATGTGGCCTGAATTGTGCAGTGTTTTTCCTCTAAAAAGACCGACAGGGGTGTGTGGCCGGCTTAGTCAGTTGAGCATCCAACTACTGATTTCAGCTCAGGTCATGATCTCAGTGTTGTGGGATCAAGCCCTGTCAGTCTCTGCACTCAGTGTGGAGTCTGCTTGAGATTCTCTCTCTCCCTCTGCCCCCATACTGCCTCTCCCTCTCTCTCTCAAATAAATAGAATCTTAGAAAAAAATAAAATAAAAGAGTAGACTATTTTATGCTACTCAAGAAACTAAAGGAAAAAAACATAGGCTCTTTTAAATGAATGTTGCTTAAACCATTGCAATTAAGGGACTAAGCGTGAGAGGTATTCTCAGACTGTTCTGAGTGGGTCTGAACTCTTCTGGAGTGGGTTCCCTGAGTGTCTTTTGCATTAATGTTTCTGTAATGCTTTCCTGCTACCGAAGAAAAAAAATTATTTCCCCTTCCTCTGCCATCACCTAAAGGCCACATTTTATTTTAAGTGTTCTGTCATAGCTCCAGGAATTGTGTGCATTTTTCAAAAAAAAAACCATTTTAAAATATTGATAGAGAATCTCAATGCAGAACGATTTATTTAGTGATCCGTTAACACTGAAAAATGTTGGGGGAGGGAGAGTCATAGCAAGAGAATTTCCTCCTGAGCTAACAGAAGAAAATGTTCTCATTTTTATTTTGCTTAATTTTTCCTTGCCAAAATTAGCGCAATCGGCATTTTGGCCGTCGCTTGTAATTCACCGGGCGATCTGTCTACACTAACATTTCCATCGTGGTCCTGAGTGGGTAAGGAAAGCCGGCCAGCTGTTGACGCGTCCACTCTGTCTCCGCCATGGATTGCTTTTTTCATTTGTATTATGCCGTTAAATATCTCAATAAATCAATGATGGAGAAAAGTATCTCTACAAATTAGGGGGAAAATAACATTACAGAACTATTAGCTATAATGAGGTTTGTGGAACTGATTTTCCACGCACTGGGATAATCCCCAGCGCCGGATTCCCATCTCAACCAACACATGGGAGGCGTGTACGCCTTTGCACAGACTACAGGCTGCTCTGGGGATCTGACTCAAGCAAGCCTCTGGAACCCAGGTGAGGCTGCCCCGTGCCGGGATGCTCAGGGCACCCCAGCCTGGCTTTCCCTCCCCATTCGGGAAGGGAATCACGCTCCTGGGAAACTCAGGATGGGCCAGAAGAGCAGAGCAGAAGTGTCTTCCAAAGCCACTTCCCTGACTGCCGGGTGCCTGGTGCAGAGTCCCCAGCTGGCAAAGGGCTCTGAACGTCCTGGCTGACCTTCAGGCGGACACCTCCTGATGTCTGTGGGAGGGGGGGTCCAGGGCGGGGAGTGAGCCCAAATCACGCTTGTGTGTGGGGCCAGTCCTCCCTCCCCATTCCTGGACGCCTGAGGGAGCACCTGCCTGGACTCTCGCTACCACCCCCGCCCCCCCGCAGGGTAAGTGGGTGGGACACTGCTGCAAAATGAACCTTGCAAGTGTTCCTAACCTTGCAAGTGTTCCCATCGATCACGCACCCCAAGTCCCACCGGCCTCAGGGGAGGTGCACACACAGTCTGGCTCCTCAGCGGTTGGGTGTTTCTTTAAGGAATGTGAACTCTTTGCTTTGTCCTTGCTGCCTTCACGGCCTTCTCTGTGCCCTAAACAGGCGGAGAGGCTTATAGTAAAGGTCCTTAAAGAAAGAACATTTTGGGGGCACCTGGGTCGCTCAGATGGTTAAGCCTCTGCCTTCGGCTCAGATC